GGACTGAAAGGTGGACAGACGGATCGAAGGATAGATCAAATGACGGAAAGACAGACAGAAGAACGTAAAGAAGGACTGAAAGGTGGACAGACGGACCGAAGGACAGATCAAATGACGGAAAGACAGACAGAAAAACGAAAAGAAGGACTGAAAGGTGGACAGATGGACAGACTATAACAAACAAAAATACCCAAAAGAAGTAAATAAGAAAATATTAAGGACATCATATGAAGTAACTGACAAAACCAAACATCTTCACTAATTTCTTTGATTTTTTTTGTTAATATTTTGCCCCAATAAATTGATATTCATTTCAGTGCTATTAAATGGAGTAATACAAGATGGTAATAGCTTTCAATGTTCATTCTTTCATTCTTTCTAGTTCGTTACGTGAGGGGTGCTGCGCACAATGTTAACCCAGGGAGGGGTGCACCCCTTAGAATCAAAGCCAAAAAACAAAATTGGTTATCTTCGAAGTAGGAGCACAAAGTGTAACCAGGGAGGGGTGTGCACCCCCTGCACCCCTCCCTTGCACCCCTCCCCTGGATCCGCCACTGGGTAGGTAGGTAACTTAGTTTCTTTCATTAATAATTCTCTTCCAGATAGCCGTAAATAAAAATATTACAAACGTAGTTAAATTACTAATTACAATAAAAATGAAATTAATTATCAGCAAGAATTTTTTTAAATTTAGATATTTACTTGCATATTCCTTGCCCTAGAATTCACATGACAACCTCTAGTATTATATTCGTGACATTCAAAAACAAGAGGAATTCTAATTAATGAATCTGGTGCTATTTCATATTCTATTTTTTAAACAGTTATGTCCGCCCTCACCAAGAGATTTCCAATCCAGCATATCCTTCCTTCCAGCATATCCATTGCCTTCCTTCCTTCCTATCTATCTATCTTTCTTTCTTTCCTTCCTTCCTTCCTTCATGAGTTTATTCGTTTCGATTGTTATTATATATTTATCTGTGTTTTTTTATTTATTCAGCAATTTTAATAAAATAAATACTTCACGATTTCGCGCCATTTTAATGAATGAACGTGCACCTTTAGTTGGCACCTTTGTCCTACCTTGTGTAAAAATTTTAAACGACAACAAAAAGAAGAACAAGTGTTTAGAAAACCAAGGTAAAAAATTGTATTTAAACTGTATGAAAATTTACTTTCAAGTTCAACTTTATTCCAAGAATTTGTAATCACTAATTAATTTGACTTGTAAATGAAGGAAAGAGTCATTTGCACTTCCAGCTTGACGCGAGTTTGACTTTAACTAGACAACTTTACAACTTTGTTTCCCTTTGTAAGTCTTTCTATATTTTTCCAACGACGAAGAACTTAAACCTGAATTCTTGGAATCTACAGCAACCGAATACATATATTTGTTTCCATAATAAGCTTAATTCAACATATTTTCGTCGTTGTATTACAGCTCTTGTTGACATTTCACATCGATTCTTCACTCGGTCTGCATTTAAAACATTGCTATTCTGTGAGATAGTCGAGCTAAACAGTCGCTTTAGATGATGTTATTGTCCAGTAAGTTTATACATTCCACTATCTAGTTATTATATTCAACATTAATTCATTATTGTAAGTGTTTTCATGCTCTCATTCTTTCGAGGGTAGAAGCCTGAGGCATTTTACTGGAAAACGTGTCTCGGTTATGATAGTCAAATAAAATAATTCTTACCTTTGACAGCTCAAATAAGATTCATTCAAAATACCAAACCAAATGCGAGACTTGTAGTCAGACTTAGTTGTGGTCGCATAATTATATAAAGCAGGTTTAAAGGGTATAAACTTTACGAAAACATAAGAAAGAATACTGAACGTTTTAAAAGTCTATTATCTGATGGGCTGCCTGTGGTCTCTAAACCAACGCGCTCGTTCTTCATTGGGCACCCTGTGGTACATAGATCTTGCTTGCTGCGAGGTAAACTATACTATGTGGTAGTCCCCTGAGTAATATTTAAGTCGGAAGAACTGAAATGTTTTTAAATACTTAAGATTCAGGTGCTCTTCGTTGAGCTTTTCTTAAGATAACATTGTTAAAAAGGTAGCTTCGTATAAAATAATCCATCGTTTTCCGCCTGGTTTTCCTCTTAATTTTCTTACTATCTTTTGTATTAAGGCTTATAAAAAGGCACCCACTTTGACATGTTTATACTATCTTTAATTAATGATTTCTGATGCCAAAGCTTCTTCTTCCAACATGAAAAGCTTCATTGGCAAACTTCATTTCCGTTTAATTCATTTTCATACTTTAACTTGAAGTATTTGTGTTTGCTTATATCCGCGACGTTACTTTATCCTCATTGAATGTAAATATTCATTATTATAAGTTCCTGGACCGCAAATCAAAAACCGACAAAATTTACCCGTACAGTAGATTAGAACAGTCTAAAATACCGGTAATAAAGCTGGATCTTCCTCACTAGTCTACACTGGACAGACTGGTCAGGACCCCTGCCCGCGTCATGATGTCTGGCGTGAGATATATCACTCGTATGAATTGATATAAATACAGACTGGGTGGGTATTATTGCTTCGATATCCTACTATAATACTAAATATCTTGATAATAATCAGATATAGCTATATATTTTTAGGTATTGAATCCGCAATGCGTATTTTATGCTATCTTACTAATGACACACTTTATCTGCTGCGCAAGTTCAATGAGGTTAAGACAGGCTTAACTGAGCTTTACTCAACACAGTTTGTTGTATTTTTAAAAAGATTTTCACAGTCATGTTTGCAAATTGATTTTATGATATTTTTTGTTGACAACCTTTTGTGCTCAGTTGCACAGTTTGGATGGACCCAATGCAAGGTTAAACTTGTTCTTGGTTGCTAATGTATATTTGTCCATGGTTTCTTTCCTTTCCTTTCCTTTCCTTTCCTTTCCTTTCCTTTCCTTTCCTTTCCTTT